TTCAGCCATATTACATTTAAATTGAGATGTCGTCGTTGTTCATGAATAAGCTTATCCCGCGATATGCCAAGGAGAGGCACGGGCCACCGAGCCGTGGATGCCCGTGCCTAAAATAAAAACAGAAGATGAGATTGGGTTAAATGGCCGAGGGTGTGCAGGTACTAGTGGGCTACTTAGCTGCTAATTGTGTATACCAAAATGCTACCGTTGCCATGGCCACGCGCGTGGCCAACGGCGATTGCAGCTAGCGCTGCTGGCCTGTGACTGCTTCCGCTGTCCGGCCCCCACGGTAGCATATTTAACCGCTACCATTGCTTGGCAACTCCCACGCTGCCAAAAGCAGCTCCACGCTGCTGGCCTAAGTCAGACTACCGCTGCCCGGCCCCAGGTAGCCGGCCAAAGCAGATCCCACTGCCCGGCCCCATTAGCAAAACCATTGTGCGGCTCCCACGCCGCGGACCCAACTGTCAGCTACCGCTTGACAAGACGACTTCCGCCGCCGGGCCCATATACGTGGCAATTGTTTGCCCCAACGTATGTTATTTTACGATTCCCCGGCTGAAAAGTCGGGAAAGACAAGGTTCCCACTGAGAAGCAGGTAACCCCGGAAAGGTTCCCGCTGAAAAGCAGGTAGCCTTAAGCACGAGTATTAATTTGGAAGCAAGTTAATTTGTTACTAGCAGTGTAGCCCACAAGAACCCCGCCACAAAGCACCCGAGTGCTACCCCACACCCACGGCCACGCGATACGCGGAGATAGCATTGTTGCCCGGCTTGCCTATGTACTGAAAGGAAACACAAACCTGTGGAGATAACAAGCGCCAGGGCATGCAATAAATTGTCCGTAAACACACACAGTCCTTTGTCACTGAGGTGGACGCCCTCCCAGGCGTACCATGTCTTGTCTGATGCCAGGATCTGGGGATGTGGCACCATTGTACCGCCGAGCTCTTTGACTCGGTTGGCCAGTCGACGGTTGATATTCTTCCGCATCCCCTCGATGCTATGCAGAAATTAGCATTTGAGTAAAGAAGAGCAAATCCAAACATTAGCTTCTATTCAAAACTTCGTATTAAAAACTGGCAGATGTTCAATTAAATGAATTGTTTAACATAAACTGCAAATATATTTCTCATATACACAGATCTAGCTTTGGCATGTGCAATTCATTTGTTAATCTAACGTTCGCTGATGTATTTATTGCATCGTGTCTTATGGGTAATGAAGTGGTATTAACATAAGCGCTTCGATTGTTTACTAATCCATTTCTAGATTCTAGACATATACACATCATGGCTGCAGGGTAATTAGTCTTTGTCCCAATTCGGTCGCTATGACACTACGATGAAAATGAATACCTCGTTGTAAGCATCGGGGATTCTCCCTATGTTGGGCGAAATGGCGGGAGAACTAAAACCAAGCCTTACCTGTTGGTTTGCGCTAACCGGGCCGGGCGCTGAATGTTCCTGCAACTGGAGTATTTTTTCCAGTTGCTCGTTTACCTGGGTAGCCGAGTTGGCAGCCTGCGCGGCATTTACAAACTGCGCCGATTGTACGTTAATTCTGTTGCCCCCTTCGATATTTCCGTAATTGGCAGACTCACCATCAGCTGTTGCCTCCTGCATAATGTGCACTCCCGGGGTTTGTCTTCTGGTTGTCCTGGCCTGCTTGGCTCCCCTCACAAGCTTGTGGTTGACGGGTGCTCTTCTCTTGGGAGGCATCACGAAGGTCGAGGTGGTGAGTCGAGGTATTCCACAAGCGTAAAATTGTCCCGAGGGTGAAGTTCGGGAGTAGAACGGAATAAATGCGATACGGCGAGTGCTGAAATAGGTGGTATTCAAAGCAAAAGCGATTAGATACAGTGACACACGTGTGTACTTGGAGAAGGGCTGTTCGCGAATGACCGACTAACAAAGGCGGGATGATGCTTGCGCGGGATTATTCCCCGGGCACGGTGCCGAGTGGTGGCCCGGGGTGATTGAGTTACGGGGGGTGATTGGGTTACAGACGTAATTAGCCCATGGTTTGGATACGCGCGATAAAGTCATTTAGTAGTTAGTACTAAATGTAAATATTCAGAACATAATTTTTATTATACTGTTATTTACGAACTCCGGAGCACAGTTCTTCTTTTGTATACACCGTGAAAATCAGAAAATTAGTCCTTGAGGAAAAAAGGACATCGGATTACACATGAATGGTTTAATAATGTCAGCTAATGACCAGAAACGGTCAGATGCATCAATTAACTACATAAAGACGATTTTAAAGTATCTCTTATTGCTGGAAAAGAACAGCATCAACATTCCACGCACATGATTTGTATGTTTTGTTTCCGTAAATGCGTGGCTTGAAATTTCAAATAAACCAACATGTCGACATACATGCTACAAAATTAACGTTTCCCGTATACTTCTCCGCCTTAAGGGCGGGGAAGAATAACCTTAACGCAACGATAATGTTGTGGAACGGACGCCTGAATTCTAAAGGTGGACCTTTGTATGGTATTAAAATTCATACGTTTCAACTTTTGACGTGTTTGAAGTATTATTCTGTTAAACTCAATTGGATTAAGTGTCAGCCTATTCACACTCGACAGTATAATTCTTAAAACGTTATAAATAGCAAGTAATAAATAAAATACTAAACTCGCTCCCGTGTAAAACCAATTTTATTAAACTCGTGAATAGTTGTGGTATCTGACCCGCTTTCGCTCGTCAGATACCAGAACTATTTACTCGTTTCATAAAATTGGTATTACACGGGAGCTCGTTTAGTATTCTATATTTCTTTAGAGTGTGCTGACTCTGACAAATACAGCATGCATGTGGTAAACAGTAATGGATACTCAACTCATTACAATCAAACCAACATATTTTAATTAATAATAGTAGGATTTCACAAACACTTTGTCATATGCGCCGACCTCTATTCAGGTACAGTAAACTACGGTTATAACGAACACGCCTATAACGAACTGACGGATATAACGAACTTACTTCTTGGTCCCGACTATTTGCTGTAGTTATACTGTGTATATACTTATAACGAACTACGGTTATAACGAACTAAAATAAGTAGTCCCTTTGAGTTCGTTATAACCGTACTTTACTGTAGTTCTGAAATGACAGCGACAAACCACGATGGCAGACCTTTGCACAGATTCTGTGGGATATAAATCAAGCAGTACGACTTTAAATCAGTTTGAATCACGTTTGTCCACGTTCAAGGACAGACCGAAGCAAATCAAACAACTACCACGGGATATGCCACATGCAGGATTATCTAACTCATACCATCTGATGCATCCTGTTTGTAAAGTGTAATATCCATCTCGGGTTTGACTGTATTCCCAAAGTGTTAAACATCTGAGACCTGCGTCACTTAGGGCTTTCCTCCCTCAATAGGCTGACACGCCACGATATGTCTGGAATACTGTTTAAAGCGGCGTAAACCCAACTCACTAACTCTGTCTGATTTATTCTGAGTGAGTGAGTGAGTTGGGTTTAACGCCGCTTTTAACATTATTCCAATTATATCACGGCGTGTCAGCTTAATGTGGGAGGAAAGCCCGAAGTGATGCAGGTCTCGGACGTTTACCACTTCGGTGAAACCCACGAGCACGGGTATGGTGCTGACAAACCTAGAAACATAATCGGGGCGAACCGGTATTCGAACCCACAATCATAGGTTTCTGGCGTGTCCAAGGGACGCAACTCTGCACAGCGAATCGCGGCGCCTTAGACGACTGGGCCACCCGTGCCCCCCTGATTTATTCTGACAACATTGGAGGCATAACTTGGCATAGCACTATAAATATGCAAAAATGGGATATTTCTACATGATACAACATCTTACATTTAGTTCACCTACCGCCGAAGACCTGAGTTCGATTCCCGACATGGGTACAATGTGTAAAGCCCATTTCTGGTGTCCCCCGCCGCGAAATTGCTGGAATATTGCTAAAAGCGGCGTAAAACCATACTCACTCACTCACTCACTCACTCACTCACTCACTAGTTCACCTACATCATGATCACCAAGTTAAATGTCAATAACAGTTTGAGATCAAATCATATTTCAAACCTCGTAGAAGTAATCTGTAGAAGTGCCAGTACTTTTCATTTTTTTACCTTTATATGATATCGCTAACTTTTCAACTATTTTCAACTGAAAATCAAATGTGTGATAACATAAACTGAGAGTTGTACTATAGTGTCTTTTTCTCCTCAATTCTAAACGCAATCATTTCCATCACACTCTTTTGAACTGGGCCGATAATGTTGAAATTCCCAGCATATATATGGATAAGGTTAATTCTGATAAGAGCATAACATGGCTCCGTTGTCAATGAACTCACAATAAACGCTAGCATAGCATGTAGGTACAAATGTACGTACACACGAGGACCGCCTCCGTGGTCTAGTGGTAGAGCGTCCGCCCGGAGAGCGAAAGGTCCGGGGTTCGATTCCCGACCGCGTCATACTAAAAGACGTTGAACGATGGTACTTGTTGTTACCCTGTCTGGCGCTCGGCATTAAGGGGCTAAAACAAGGACTGGTCGGCTCGGAGTCAGTATACTGTGTCTGAGTGGGGTATTCATGTTAAACTTCGGCATGGTATCTCAGTGAGCTAGCACTATAAATCGGCATCAGTCCGGACTAGTACAAGCAGCCACACAAACACACACACGTACATGCACGTCACTATATAAGTGCAATAATCTTGGACGCGACGTAAAACCCCATTTCACCTCACCTCAGCTCACCTCACCACGAGGTGACACGAGTCAGTGTATATGTAACTCAAGATGTGACACGTTTCAGTGTGATAAAGGTGTGGGAAAAAAAGCTTTAATTAAGTCCATGTACGACAAAGAACTCCGGTAGAATAAAGCGGTAATGTTTTTGTGGCTTGAAATATTTTTCACATTCAAAATTCTCATTGTTTTATACAACACTATAATGTATTATGCCATGACACTGGCATCTTATTAATAGGGGTACATGCGTTGCCCTGTAGTTACACCGACCCTGTCTACTGACTAGCTGTGGTGAGTCTCATGTTGGTATTTTGTTTGTTGTCGCAACGATGGTATATGTACACATCTTAAGAGAGTCGAGTGTATTCACATGCCTTAGCTTTAAACGTTTTCTGAAAGTGTTTTTGTTGTTAAAATTGATTTAATTTCGATCAGAAATTGATTTGCAGTAACCAAGTCAGCGAGCCTGATCACTCGATCCTGGAAGTCGCATAACGACAAACATAGTCGCCTTTTTCGGCAAGCAAGTGAAGACCAATTCTAACCCGGATCTTTACGTTTTTGTTTCGAAAACAGTAATGCGCCACTGAAATTTTCTTCAGTAATGTTTTATTGACACAATGCGACACAAAACAGCGAATTTCCATTGCGAATTACACGTGTATAAAATATTAAGAAAGTAATAACATCCCCGTTCCTTAAAAAAAATTGACTATAGCTTGACTTTAAGGGTCATGGACGGCCCAGTCGTCTAAGGTGTTGCAATTCGCTATGAAGAGTTGCGTCCCTTACGTATGTCAGAAACCTACGATCGTAGGTACGAATCCTGGTTTGCCGTAATTCTGTTTCTGGCTTGGACTGTATACTCAGGTTTGGCTAAAGTGTTAAACATCTGAGACCTGTGTCACTTCGGGCTTTCCTCCCTCTCCAGTCTAACACGCCGTGATATGTCTACACAACTGTAAAACAAAGCAGCGTTAGACGAAACTCACTCTAACATCCCTGAGGTTATATGCCGGTTCTTTTCTATTTTTGTCTTCAGTGACCATGGAGCTTTGGTACCTGGCCCTGATGCTTGTAGCTGCTTGTGTTCATGTACACGCGCAGACTGGGGATGGTAAGTTTCATATCTTCACTACAAAAGCAACTTTGTTTGACTTATCTTCGGGTGGCACATTCGCCAAAGTTCCTTCTATTCGCTGTGCGTTTGAATCTGTAACCGTGGTCCTTGGCTTGTCAGCACCATTCCTGTGGATGCCAGCACCACACTCCCCTGAAAGACGAATGCCGTCTTTTTTGTCTCTCTCTTTTTTCAACGCCGAATCCCGAACAGAAATCTCAAAAGCATTGAGAAAAGGATGCGCTTTAAAGTTAAATTACTGAAAGAATACGGAAGTCATATTTTTTAAAAATATAATGCATGAAGGACAATTTTAAATACACCATATTCTTCCCGCGTACCATTCGCTGAGTCCCGAATAACCTCTAAATAGATTTCCGAATCCCGGGTACCAAAAGAGGATTGGCAGCCTCTTTGCTTGTAGGTTTCACGAAAATGGTAAGTGTCCACAACTTGCATCACTTATTTCTTCTCTAATGTTAAGTGGAACCCTTAAAAAACTGAGGAGTAAAAGAATGTACACCGGTTTGGTTTGGTTTTATTGAAAATTGAAAAAAACAGATGTTAACTTTGATGTCTAATTACTCACAACTCATTCCTATTACAGTTTGTAAAAAGTAATCTGTGGCTGGATAATATTTGTGTCAATATATATTTGTTTAAGGACGACTGGTGTAAGAAATGAATGTGCAACTACATGATAACTACACATGTACCATGTTTCAAATGTTGTAAATTTGTGCCGATAAAGGCAAAAATGTTTCAAAGGCAAGATGTCTAAGAGTTTCTTTTGATTTCTAAATCAAATTATATTATAAAAACTATAAGCATTAGAAGTATTCTTTCAGTACTGATTAAGCGCTAGAACGGTTCCCCTTTCAGATATGATATAGCAAAACATAATTTTAATTGAAAGAGGAGATATGATAAAATCAATTGAAAGTCTGAGATTGTTTCGGTTATTGTTCATACACGTCTTGATAAATAGAATAGTGGGTCCGTGTTTGTCTCAGTGATTGTTCTGCACACGTCCTGAGAAACAGTGTAGTGGGTCCGTGTTTGTCTCAGTGATTGTTCTGCACATGTCCTGAGAAACAGTGTAGTGGGTCCGTGTTTGTCTCAGTGATTGTTCTGCACACGTCTGTTCTGCACATGTCCTGAGAAACAGTGTAGTGGGTCCGTGTTTGTCTCAGTAATTGTTCTGCACACGTCCTGAGAAACAGTGTAGTGGGTCCGTGTTTGTCTCAGTAATTGTTCTGCACACGTCTGTTCTGCACACGTCCTGGGAAACAGTGTAGTGGGTCCGTGTTTGTCTCAGTAATTGTTCTGCACACGTCTGTTCTGCACACGTCCTGGGAAACAGTGTAGTGGGTCCGTGTTTGTCTCAGTGATTGTTCTGCACACGTCCTGGGAAACAGTGTAGTTGGTCCGTGTTTCTCTCAGTGATTGTTCTGCACACGTCCTGGGAAACAGTGTAGTGGGTCCATGTTTCTCTCAGTGATTGTTCTGCACACGTCCTGAGAGACAGTATAGTGGGTCCGTGTTTCTCTCAGTGATTGTTCTGCACACGTCCTGAGAAACAGTGTTCCGGGTCCGTGTTTCTCTCAGTGATTGTTCTGCACACGTCCTGAGAAACAGTATAGTGGGTCTGTGTTTCTCTCAGTGATTGTTCTGCACACGTCCTGAGAAACAGTGTAGTGGGTACGTGTTTCTCTCAGTGATTGTTCATACACGTCCTGAGAAACAGTATAGTGGGTTCGTGTTTCTCTCAGTGATTGTTCATACACGTCCTGAGAAACAGTGTAGTGGGTCTGTGTTTCTCTCAGTGATTGTTCTGCACACGTCCTGAGAAACAGTGTAGTGGGTACGTGTTTCTCTCAGTGATTGTTCTGCACACGTCCTGAGAAACAGTGTTCCGGGTCCGTGTTTCTCTCAGTGATTGTTCTGCACACGTCCTGAGAAACAGTATAGTGGGTCCGTGTTTCTCTCAGTGACTGTTCTGCACACGTCCTGAGAAACAGTGTTCCGGGTCCGTGTTTCTCTCAGTGATTGTTCTGCACAGGTCCTGAGAAACAGTATAGTGGCTCTGTGTTTCTCTCAGTGATTGTTCTGCACACGTCCTGAGAAACAGACTGTGTAGTGGGTTCGTGTTTCTCTCAGTGATTGTTCTGCACACGTCCTGAGAAACCGTGTTGTGGGTCCGTGTTTGTCTAAGTGATTGTTCTGCACACGTCCTGAGGAACAGTATAGTGGGTCCGTGTTTCTCTCAGTGATTGTTCTGCACACGTCCTGAGAAACAGTATAGTGGCTCTGTGTTTCTCTCAGTGATTGTTCTGCACACGTCCTGAGAAACAGTGTTGTGGGTCCGTGTTTCTCTCAGTGATTGTTCTGCACACGTCCTGAGAAACAGTGTAGTGGATCCGTGTTTCTCTCAGTGATTGTTCTGCACACGTCCTGAGAAACAGTGTTGTGGGTCCGTGTTTCTCTCAGTGATTGTTCTGCACACGTCCTGAGAAACAGTGTTGTGGATCCTCGTTTCTCTCAGTGATTGTTCTGCACACGTCCTGAGAAACAGTGTAGTGGATCCGTGTTTCTCTCAGTGATTGTTCTGAACACGTCCTGAGAAACAGTGTTCCGGGTCCGTGTTTCTCTCAGTGATTGTTCTGCACACGTCATTAGAAACAGTGTTCCGGGTCCGTGTTTCTCTCAGTGATTGTTCTGCACACGTCCTGAGAAACAGTGTAGTGGGTTCGTGTTTCTCTCAGTGATTGTTCTGCACACGTCCTGAGAAACAGTGTAGTGGGTCCGTGTTTCTCTCAGTAATTGTTCTGCACACGTCCTGAGAAACAGTGTAGTGGGTCCGTGTTTCTCTCAGTGATTGTTCTGCACACGTCCTGAGAAACAGTGTAGTGGGTCCGTGTTTCTCTCAGTAATTGTTCTGCACACGTCCTGAGAAACAGTGTAGTGGGTCCGTGTTTCTCTCAGTGATTGTTCTGCACAAGTCCTGTGAAACAATGTAGTGGGTCCGTGTTTCTCTCAGTGATTGTTCTGCACACGTCCTGAGAAACAGTGTAGTGGGTCCGTGTTTCTCTCAGTGATTGTTAAGAGACGTCCTTATAAACAGTGTAGTGGGTCCGTGTTTCTCTCAGTGATTGTTCTGCACACGTCCTGATAAACAGCGTAGTGGGTCGGTGTTTCTCTCAGTGATTGTTCTGCACACGTCCTGGGAAACAGTGTAGTTGGTCCGTGTTTCTCTCAGTGATTGTTCTGCACACGTCCTGGGAAACAGTGTAGTGGGTCCATGTTTCTCTCAGTGATTGTTCTGCACACGTCCTGAGAGACAGTATAGTGGGTCCGTGTTTCTCTCAGTGATTGTTCTGCACACGTCCTGAGAAACAGTGTAGTGGGTCCGTGTTTCTCTCAGTGATGGTTAAGAGACGTCCTGAGAAACAGTGTAGTGGGTCCGTGTTTCTCTCAGTGATTGTTCTGCACACGTCCTGAGAAACAGTGTAGTGGGTCCGTGTTTCTCTCAGTGATTGTTAAGAGACGTCCTGAGAAACAGTGTAGTGGGTCCGTGTTTCTCTCAGTGATTGTTCTGCACACGTCCTGAGAAACAGTGTAGTGGGTCCGTGTTTCTCTCAGTGATTGTTAAGAGACGTCCTGAGAAACAGTGTAGTGGGTCCGTGTTTCTCTCAGTGATTGTTAAGAGACGTCCTGAGAAACAGTGTAGTGGGTCCGTGTTTCTCTCAGTGATTGTTAAGAGACGTCCTGAGAAACAGTGTAGTGGGTCGGTGTTTCTCTCAGTGATTGTTAAGAGACGTCCTGAGAAACAGTATAGTGGGTCCGTGTTTCTCTCAGTGATTGTTAAGAGACGTCCTGAGAAACAGTGTAGTGGGTCCGTGTTTCTCTCAGTGATTGTTCTGCACACGTCCTGAGAAACAGTGTAGTGGGTCCGTGTTTCTCTCAGTGATTGTTAAGAGACGTCCTGAGAAACAGTGTAGTGGGTCCGTGTTTCTCTCAGTGATTGTTAAGAGACGTCCTGAGAAACAGCATTGTGGGTCCGTGTTTCTCTCAGTGATTGTTCTGCACACGTCCTGATAAACAGTATTGTGGGTCCGTGTTTCTCTCAGTGATTGTTCTGCACACGTCCTGATAAACAGTATTGTGGGTCCGTGTTTCTCTCAGTGATTGTTCTGCACACGTCCTGATAAACAGTATTGTGGGTCCGTGTTTCTCTCAGTGATTGTTCTGCACACGTCCTGATAAACAGTGTAGTGGGTCCGTGTTTCTCTCAGTGATTGTTCTGCACACGTCCTGAGAAACAGTGTAGTGGGTCCGTGTTTCTCTCAGTGATTGTTAAGAGACGTCCTGAGAAACAGTGTAGTGGGTCCGTGTTTCTCTCAGTGATTGTTCTGCACACGTCCTGAGAAACAGTATAGTGGGTCCGTGTTTCTCTCAGTGATTGTTAAGAGACGTCCTGAGAAACAGTGTAGTGGGTCCGTGTTTCTCTCAGTGATTGTTCTGCACACGTCCTGAGAAACAGTGTAGTGGGTCCGTGTTTCTCTCAGTGATTGTTAAGAGACGTCCTGAGAAACAGTGTAGTGGGTCCGTGTTTCTCTCAGTGATTGTTAAGAGACGTCCTGAGAAACAGTGTAGTGGGTCCGTGTTTCTCTCAGTGATTGTTAAGAGACATCCTGAGAAACAGTGTAGTGGGTCCGTGTTTCTCTCAGTGATTGTTAAGAGACGTCCTGAGAAACAGTGTAGTGGGTCCGTGTTTCTCTCAGTGATTGTTAAGAGACGTCCTGAGAAACAATGTAGTGGGTCCGTGTTTCTCTCAGTGATTGTTAAGAGACGTCCTGAGAAACAGTGTAGTGGGTCCGTGTTTCTCTCAGTGATTGTTAAGAGACGTCCTGAGAAACAGTGTAGTGGGTCCGTGTTTCTCTCAGTGATTGTTAAGAGACGTCCTGAGAAACAGTATAGTGGGTCCGTGTTTCTCTCAGTGATTGTTAAGAGACGTCCTGAGAAACAGTGTAGTGGGTCCGTGTTTCTCTCAGTGATTGTTAAGAGACGTCCTGAGAAACAGTGTAGTGGGTCCGTGTTTCTCTCAGTGATTGTTAAGAGACGTCCTGAGAAACAGTATAGTGGGTCCGTGTTTCTCTCAGTGATTGTTAAGAGACGTCCTGAGAAACAGTGTAGCTGGTCGGAGAGTAAGCGAGTGATTATGGTTTTACGCCACTTTTAGAAATACTCCAGCAACATCACGTCCGGCGACACCAGAAATCGGCTTTGTACCCATGTCAGGAGTCGAACCCGTGACGAGCGAACAGTTGGTCAGAGAATTGTATGTATATTGATGATTAAGTACTCACACGAAACAATCTCCAACAAAAGCCCCACACTCCTACCATAGCATCCCTTAAAAAGTGATAGTTCTGCAAGTTTATTGTTGTTTACTATTTTCCGCGACCCAAATTGTTATAAAACCTTTGGCACATTCCAGGTTGTTGTTTCAGATTCCTCCTGTTATTATGAGGATGCCGGCGATTGGTCCGCGTGTTCTCCAAGAACTAAACAGCAGACCATGGACCAGCATTTAGTTGATGGAGAAGGATCCTGCCCAAAGAAGAAAACCAAAAGCAGGCAATGCACACCGAAAGAAGAAAGTGGACATAAAAGGAGTGATGAGGATGATGAAGATCCTGGAGAATATAGAGGTGCAAGAGGCAGGATGCACAAAGCACAAAGTCAACATGATGAGGAAGGACTGGAAGGAGGTCAAGAACGTCATGGGCGTGGAGGTCGACACAGGCACAGGAATCGGTATGGAGGTCATGGACAAAGGGGACGAGGAAGAGAACACAACAAGGACGATCCAGAAAGCATACAGCAAAGTGGAGCAATGGAAGAAGGTGTAGAAGGCAGGGAGGAGAAACAAGGTCGAGATCAAAGGCAAAAGTGTCACATGATGAGGAAACAACTTAAACGCTGCTATCATGACAGCCATCGATTTGGCGGTGGTGCATTTGGCGGTGGTGCATTTGGCGGTGGTGCATTTGGCGGTGGTGGATTCGATCGCAGTGGTGGTGGTGGATTTCGTCATGGTGGTGGTGGATTTGGTCGTGGTGGTGGTGGATTTGGTCGTGGTGGTGGCGTTATGTAGACTCCCCACATCCTAATCATTCCCGACCTTGCACCTGCAGTCACTTTGAACCAATAACCAATCATTCACCTGAAGCCAGAGAACATTACATGAATAGATTATAGGGAAATATTATTTTAATTTCAAGAACTTTGCATTTTAAATAAAAAGTTGTCCTTCGTCAGAAGAAATCATTATGTAATCACTGAAGCCAATGTAATGAGGGTCATGTGGACGGCTAAGCAATAATAAAGTCAAGAGTCAGCACAGAGTTTTGTCTTCTTGCGTATGTACTGTCAGACTCAAACGGTATCCTATCTAACATTAAGACCCCGTGGGGACCCTGGCAGGATGCGGTACCAGTACCTCATTGCCTGTCCAGAGAGAGGTGACAAAATTGGAAACCCGTTGGAATTCCGGGTTAGAATGGATTCCCAGCAGCCTGTCAAAGTCGTTGAGGCATGCCATCGTCACCCCAATTGCGTGTATCGATTGTCATGAGGTCAAAACAACAAACAAACAATCAATCAATCAATCAACGATCTAAATGACAAATGTTTTGTTTGTTGTTTAACTCTGCACTGAGCAATATTCCAGCTACGTGACAGAGATCTGATAATGGAAAGGCGGGTCTGCTGTACAACCTTTTCTCTCTGATATGGAATCCTAGAAGGGACATTGTCACCTTGTCGCATTGTCGCTCTAACAAAAGAAAAGCAAAAAGTGTCAAAGTTAACAAAATTGCGACAATGCCTCCGGATGCCTTTGTGTTCATTCTCTCTATTCGCCATTGTCTGGGGCTCCGTCACTCTCTTACTATGAGTACTAAGGGTGTGGTCTCTCGTTACTACGTCATGGTCAAATCCATGTGGTAACTGATGACTGGAAGTGACACGGTATGTCCCTTTGTCACATTGGTTTTAAACAGTGTGACAGTGAGTTACCGCTGCGTGTCGGGGCAGATCCGTTCGTCGGTGTAGTTAATGGTCCACTCGCGGATCCATCTATTGGCTGAATCTATCAGCTGTTTAGCGGTCATGTGATATTTACTGACTAAACATTCGTACTGTTTTTTACTTGTGTTTACGGGGTGGCACAGACGTCTAAGGGGCCGGGATTTGCTGTGAACAGTTGCGTCCCTAGGGCACGCCAGAAACATATGATTGTGGGTTCGAATCCTGGGTCGCCCCGATTATGTTTCTAGGTTTTTCAGCACCATACCCGTGCTCGTGGGTTTTACCGAAGTGGTAAACGTCTAAGACCATTACTTTTCTCCTTAATGAGTGAGTGAGTATAGTTTTACGCCGCTTTGAGCTATATTCAGCAACATCACGGCGGGGGTCACCAGAAATGGGCTTCACACATTGTACCCATCGGGTCTTCGGCGTGAGGAGAGAAAGCTTTAACCACTAGGCTATCCCTCTCCCACATTTAGCTGACACACCCGATATAACCTTGAAAACTATTAAAAGCGGCGTTAAACCCAACTCACTCACTCACACTTGTGTTCAGAACATGTGACACATTATTCCTCACATGTATGACATGTACAACATTCACAACATTCACAACATTAGACCAAGGATGGATTTGAAACCCAGGATGGATTTGAAACCCAGTATTGCATTAGATAATAACCCCTGAAAAGAACAATGCCAAATTCGAACCATTTAATCCTAGACACCATCATCTGAATTCAAAAACACATTATAGGGTGTGTCCTTGTCTCGATTTATTTTTTCGAATTTGAATTTGAACGCTGTTGGAGGGATGCTGCATAGGTAAAACCTGCCACGCACAGGAACTGAAAGTAAATGTCAAGGTTGTAGTAAACAGACGTACACAGGCAAGACAAGGATTGGCCTCAGGGTTCAACACGATTTACCAACGCAGTACAAAGCGGTCATCCATGACTCAAACGTTGCCCGTAGGTATAAGACGAATGAACGTCCAGTCTTTGCTGTTGTGTACGTCGTGACTGTAAGTTTATGGGTGAAAGTTTTGGTCCACGATAGCAGCGCTATGATGTATCTCCGACTGCATGGGACGTTGCCTATACATATCATCAATCTCAGACTTCCAAATTGAAACGCAGAGGGGGGCACGGGTGGCACAGTCGTCTAAGGCGCCGCTGTGCAGAGTTGCGTCCCTTGGTCACGCCAGAAACCTATGATTGTGGGTTCGAATCCCGGTTCGCCCCGATTATGTTTCTAGGTTTGTCAGCACCATACCCGTGCTCGTGGGTTTCACCGAAGTGGTAAACGTATGAAACCTGCATCACTTCGGGCTTTCCTCCCACATTAAGCTGACACGCCGCGATATGACTGAAATAATGTTAAAAGCGGCGTTAAACCCAACTCACTCACTCACACTGAAACGCAGAGGATAACCTAGACATCGGTTCATATAGAACTAAATTGTGAAATTATCACAAAGGCTTACAAAAGGCAATATTAATGGACACAGCAATAAATTGCAGGCGCTATTATATGTTAGTTCCCTCACAAATGTCCAGACTTTTTACTGTCGAATGTCATGAAAGAAACTTCCCATTCCGAAACGTCTTGAACGAACAAGTCTGTCATGTTGTAAACATCCAGGGGCGGGTAACTCTATTCACTTTTACTTTCACTTCATTCACTTGCTGCCACTGACATCTACAAATATAAATAAACCTACAACAGTCTCCACTCCTACCAATATCACTTACATATAACAATACGTACATCACAAACATGCACGAATGGTGTTTCGAGGCATCAGTATCCTGGAAAGCACCATATGGAATTTCTTAAAAGTTATCGTAGCCCATTTGATTAGATCGATGTCAATCACTGGATTGTCTACTCCAGACTCGGTATTTTACAGACCGTCGTCATATAGCTTGAATAGGTGCGGCGTTTAACAACGGTCAAACAAGCAAACCTACCCAGGAGATTCTCTGCTCGGTTTTGTTTCCTTTTTTTACACAAGAACCCGCAGATATGAACATGGAATAGATCGGCGGATCCAGAAGAAGGGTGCGATAAAACTACGAATAGGACTCCATGGCCACAAACTAGAAAAGGATGGTACTGTTTTCGTATGGGTGGCCATCTTGTCACACTAAAACGATTAACCAGTTTTTAATTTCGATCTGGAATTCTCATTCAAATGTGAAAAGAAGTATACAGCTTGCATTAAGGGTTGTGTTTGTCGTGATTCATTGATGAATTTGTTGCTTCTATTTTTTTAAACTTTGTTGGAGTGTTATGGAGGAGGCGTATGCACAGGAATAGAAAGCCATTGAGAAAATTATAGGTGTACTTAACAGAGAGAGAGAGAGAGAGAGAGAGAGAGAGAGAGAGAGAGAAAGAGAGAGAATAATGTTTATTAAAGTGTCACATGTTGTATACACTTCATACTAAAACACGTACACAAACTATAAAATATAACATCCGACCAGGTATGGCCTACGAGACATTAGACATAAAAGCATATGTATGACGTCATGTTCTGGATAAGGCAAATTAAGACATATACTAACACAATGTTTAAAGTTAAGACACGTTCACGCATGTGCACACGCACGCACGCACGCACACACACACACACACACACACGCGCGCGCGCTTAATTACTTATACAGTCGCGCACGCAATTATACACAAACACGTAGACACCCACGCCCACACCTACACCCACACACCCAACACACACCACACCCCATACACAAACACACGCACGCACGCACGCACGCACACATACACACACGCACACGCACACGCACACGCACATGCACACACCATACGTACACAGAGGTGCATTTATCCTCACCGACACTCAACATAAACATTACAAGTATAATATTAATCACAAGCAGACATACTTCTATTCGCAAGCATAATAACATACATGTAGAAAAGCGCACACATAATTAAATGAGCATCAAGCGCCTTTGGAACATTTGATCAATTAACTTACAAAGACTATAACACCCGTGTTCACATCTGAGTAAAGTAATACATTTCTCGGTTGAAGATAAGTTTAAGAAATCTGGCATACATTCACACATAGCGTTCATTACATCAAAACGTAAAGCATCATACATAATACAATCAATTAAAAAGTGGACCTCAGTCTCTACTGAGTTAAAACAAAAAGTTCTATCCTGAAGGTGGGGCAGGGGGACGACTATACCTCGTGTTTTCAATGTTAACATCTATTACCTCATGTATAACGGCATCAATGGTACATGTACCTGGTGACCATGGGTTCAATATATCAGTATGATAACATACCATACAAATCACAAGCAGGAGGTTTTGGATATATGTTGGTTGTTGGTTGGTTTGTTGTTTAACGCCGCACTCAGCAATATTTCAGCTATATGACGGCGGTCTGTAAATAATCGAGTCTGGACCAGACAATCCAGTGATTGATATTATTAGCATCGATCCACGCAATTTGGATCGATGACATGTATCAACCAAGTCAGCGAGCCTGACCACCCGATCCCGTTAATCGCCTTTTACGACAAGCATAGTCACCTTTTACGGCAAGCATGGGTTGCTGAAGACCTACTCTACCCCGAAATCTTCACGGGGCTTTTGGATATATGAGAGGCGGAGAGATTTGGCTGCGGCTACAAAAAAACACTCCCATAAATATTAATGATCGCTAACCTTTCTGTTCAATATATAAAATCGGTTTCTTAAGAGTGTGCTAACTCTGACCAATAAGCCATGCATGTAGACAGTATTAGACATTCAACTCATTTCAATCAAGCCAGGACAACGTATTTGAATTAATGAATAATTGTAGGATTTCACAAACATTTTGTCATTTGAGCGTCGATCTCTATTTAGGTAATTCTGAACTCAGAGCGACAAACCATGATGAGAGTGGGATATAAATCAAGCAGTACGACTTTAATTCAGTTTAAATTACGTCTGTCCACGTTCAAGGACAGTACGAAGCAAATTAAACAGTTACCTACAGGTATGCCACATGCAGGATTATCTAACTCATACGATCAGATGCATGGCACTTGTTTGTGTAATATCCATCTCGAGGGCTGGAAAACCCATGAATCGAAGCATGAAGTAAACTGGATATATTTTAATGGGTGGGTGGTTGGGTTCTTTAATGACTCACTCACAGAGACATATGTCTGTTAATAAGACATATGTCTGTTAATAGTCCGGCCAAATCCTACCAAACCCACCACAAATTGCAACAGAAATTATTTCTCCTGTTTCATAAACAGAAAGCATCCCCTTACAACATCGTAAAAATCTAGGAAAATCTAAGTTGGGAAAATTGTTCAGTTTGGGTATGATGTTTTGGGGGGTAAATCAATAAAAAATATACCCCCAAAAAAATAAAAATTAATGTTTCATTTTTTGTTAAACCATATCATGTTGCATATCAAATGAAAGCTGGTGTCACAAGCAGTCCTTGTGTATCTATCGTTTGTATCTTATCTGCATAAAAGTAATATAATCTGCCTTTGGAGGAAAAATAGCGAAAAACACATAAATTCACATTTATTCATATATATAGTTTTTGTTTGTCTTAACTATATTTATTCAATAACATTAACATTTGTTTATTTGTTTGAAAACCTTCATTTTGAAAATTTCCTTTTTAAAACTTATATGTCAAGTAAAGGTCATCAATAAATGTTGACAAATATAATTTTCCCGACAAGTAGCACATCGGCGGCCAAGTTTACCAAGGAGAAAGGCTAATAAGGTCATCACCCAGCACATATTTGACACCATTCTGTCGTTTTCATTTCCAGCAGGTATGTACCCATAAGCCGTTTACAAGATAAACCATCATGGATATCATAATCAAATTAAATTCTGTATAAATTTGACTAAATCATGAAATATCTCAAGATAAAGAGTCCTCTGTTTGTAAATGTTTCCTGCCAAACTTTTTGAGCTAAGTACTATATACTTAACAACAAGTCCACTTCAGTGATAAACCTGGAACCTGGAACCGAAAGGTATATAAAAAAATTGTTAAGTGATCTTTTGCCTTTGAAATTATGTAAAGTACTTTACAAATTACATTTTCTGGTTACTTTAATTATCTTATGTACCTTGTGAAGTTAGAAAATGGTTAGGACTGGGACATCATGCCAATGATAACATCTCCAACTTTAACTCTTTTCAACTGAAAATCAAACATATGAGGTATAGTTTCTTTTGCTCCTCAATACATAACTTCAATCACAATCCCAGATGACGTGGATAAGGTTAATTCTGATACTTGCATAACATGGCTCCATGGTCACTGAACACAACAGAACAAACTATGGCAAAACATGTAGGTACGTGCACACGCGTCATTGTGATTATGGCATGGGAATACAGATTTAATCGCAAAAAAAAGGCTTGTAGAAGAATAAAGTAGGTAGGTAATGATGCTGTGGCCTGGCATATTTTTCATAGTCAAGGTTCTTATTGCTTTATACAGCACCGTAGTGTATTATGCCATAACATTGGCATGTTATAAAAAGTTATAAACGCGTTGCCCTGTATTCACACTGAACCTGTCTGTTGACAAGCTGTGGTGAGTGTCGTGTTTGTATTGTATTTTGTTTGTTGTCGCAAGGAAGGTACATGAACAGATCTTTATAGAGTTTATTGTGTTCACAGGCCTTAAAGTTTTAAAAGCTTCCTGAAGTTGTTGTTTAAATTGATTGAATTTCGAAGAGGAATTGATTTGTATTTCCGAATATTCTTTTTCAAAAACGTGTTTACTTGTTTGCTTGTTTGTTGTTTGACGCTGCACCCAGCAATAATCCAGCTATGTGTGTGTACTAAATAATAAAATCTGGGCCAGACAATCCAGTGATTTGATCATGAGCGTCGATCCACGCATGCGCAATTGGGATACGACGATGCATCAACAAAGTCAGCGAGCCTGACCACCCGATCCCATTAGTTGCCTCTTACGACAAGCATAGCCGCCTGTTACAGAGAGCATGGCTTGCTAAAGACCTATTCTAACCCGGATCTTCACGTTTTTTGGGGGGAAAAACAGTAATGCCGCCACTGAATGTTTTTTCTTGCGGCGTTCTTGAGACCTGCGTCATTTCAGGCGTCCCTCCCATGTCTTATATACTCTAAAACAAAGCAGCGTCAGACGAAACTCACTCTAACATTCATCTTCCCGAGGCAAGAGAGTTAACTGACTATAAAAGTCCAGTTTCCACCCTTGCCGAACTAGGCTGGAATTCCTGGGCTCGATCGTAGCGCCACCAGTTGCTATTACCAGTTGTGTCTCTTCTAAGCCTCTCCTATGGACCAATCAGATTTTACCTCTCGTATCACTTGCGTTTGCTTCACATAAAATGGTGGCGCCCGGTCAAGACGATCTTATCGATAATCAAGATCTATATTGTGATAAAACGGGGTTTTACATCGCGAAAACAATCAAATCATGCGAGCACTTTGATTAAAAACATGAAACGATTTGGAAAATATCTGCTGACAACGAGTTGGCGGTGCACATGCTTTGCAAATCCTGCAATCGACCGCAATCTGCACGAAAGTTTACGAACCGGATTTCGATTTAGGTGCGCGATTTTGATTGGACTATGCATAGACTCGTTAGTCCAGCCAAAATGTAACTCCATAATACCAGCCTAGTTCGGCAAGGGTGGAAACTGGACTTTTATAGTCATTTAACTCACTTGCCTCGGTAAAGATGTCTAACATGCTGCATTCCTCAGGTAAAATGCCAACGTTTCTTTCTGTTTTTGTCTTCAGTGACCATGGAGCTTTGGTACCTCGCACTGATGCTTGTAGCTGCTTGTGTTCATGTACACGCGCAGACTGGGGATGGTAAGTTTCATATCTTCACTACAAAGGCAACGTTGATTGACTTATCTTCGGGTGGCACATTCGCCAAAGTTACTTCTATTCGCTGTGCGTTTGAATCTGTAACCGTGGTCCTTGGCTTGTCAGCACCATTCCTGTGGATGCCAGCACCACACTCCCCTGAAAGACGAATACCGTCTTTTTTGTCTCTCTCTTTTTTCAACGCCGAATCCAGAACAGAAATCTCAAAAGCATTGAGAAAAGGATGCGCTTTTAGTTAAATTACTGAAAAACTATGAAAATCACCTTCAAATAAATATAATGCATGAAGGACATTTTTAAATACACCATATTCTTCCCGCGTACCATTTGCTGAGTCCCGAATAACCTCTAAATCCGAATCCCGGTTACCAAAAGAGGATTGGCAGCCTCTTTGCGTGTAGGTTTCACGAAAATGGTAAGTGTCCACAACTTGCATCACTTATTTCTTCTCTAATGTTAGGTGGAACCCTTAAAAACTGAGGAGTAAAAGAATGTACACCGGTTTGGGTTTTTTTAATGAAAATTGAAAAAAACTGATGTTAACTTTGATGTCTAATTACTCACAACTCATTCCTGTTACAGTTTGTAAAAAGTAATCTGTGGCTGGATAATATTTGTGTCAATATATATTTGTTTAAGGACGACTGGTGTAAGAAATGAATGTGCAACTACATGGCAACTACACATGTACCATGTTTCAAATGTTGTAAATTTGTGCCGAAAAGGCAAAAAAGTTTCTAAGACACCCATCAGGAGTTGTTTATTATGCTGAAATGTCTTTTGATTTCTAAATCAAATTATATTATAAAAAATATAAGCATTTAGAAGTACCGATTAAGCACTAGAACAGTTCCCCTTGCGGATATGATATAACTAAACATAGTTTCAATTGAAAGAGGAGATGTGATAAAAATAATTGAGAAGTAGTGTTTCTGTTGCTCCTCAGTTTATAACTGACCCACTGGTCAAAGGGGAAAGGTTTGTTGTAATTGTCGTTTAACCCCGAACTTAACAATACCCTGAAATACACGTCATGATAAACTCTGTAGTGCGTCTGAGTTTGTCTTGATACGTCTGAATACGTCTTGATAAATAGAATAGTGGGTCCGAGTTTGTCTCAGAGATTGTTCAGACACGTCCTATGGCAGATAAACACTTCCTGTGTTTTGTTTCAGATTCCTCCTGCTATTATGAGGATGCCGGCGATTGGTCCGCGTGTTCTCCAAGAACTAAACAGCAGACCATGGACCAGTTTTTTGTTGGTGGAGAAGGATCCTGCCCAAAAAAGAAAACCAAAAGCAGGCAATGCACACCGAAAGAAGAAGGTGGACATAAAAGGAGTGATGAGGATGATGAAGTTACTGGAGAATATAGAGGTGCAAGAGGCAGGATGCAAAAAGTACAAAGCCAACATGATGAGGAAGAAGGTGTAGAAGGCAGGGAGAAAAAAGGTCAAAGGCGTCATTGGTCCATGCCGAGAAAACGCCGTAGACACGGTGGATTTGGTGGTGGTAAACATGGTAACCGTGGTGGTGGTGGTGGTAAACATGGTAACCGTGGTGGTGGTGGTGGTAAACATGGTGATGGTGGATTTGGTGGTGGTAAACATGATAAACGTGTTGGCGGTGGTAAACATGGTAAACGTGATGGTGGTGGCCTTGAGTTTTTTGGTGGTCTATTTGGTAGTATATTAGGTGTTGGTGAATTTGGTGATGGTGGTAGACGTGGTGAACGTGGTGACGGTGGATTTGGAGGTGGTGGATTTGGTGGTGGTAGAAGTGGTAAACGTGGTGATGGTGGATTTGGAGGTGGTGGATTTGGTGGTGGTAGAAGTGGTAAACGTGGTGATGGTGGATTTGGAGGTGGTGGATTTGGTGGTGGTAGACGCGGTAAACGTGGTGACGGTGGATTTGGAGGTGATGGATTTGGTGGTGGTAGAAGTGGTAAACGTGGTGACGGTGGATTTGGAGGTGGTGGATTTGGTGGTGGTAGAATAGGTAAACGTGGTGATGGTGGAATTGTTCCTACTCCACTCTGATCATTCACGACCTTGCACCTTCAGATACAGTCATTCTGAACCAATAAACAATCGCCCACCTGATGCCAATGAGAATTACACGAGTAGATAATAGGTAGATATTATCTTAATTACACTACCAATTTGTAATATGGAGTTGACATTCGTATGAAGAATTCGTACTGTAATCATTGAGGCTAATGTAAAGAGGGCCATGTTCACTGCTGAACAATAATAAGTCAAGAGTTGCCATTGAGTTTTGTCTTCTTGTGTAAGTACAGTCAGACTATCTAAGATTAAGACCCCATGGGGACTCTGGTAGGATGCGGTACCAGTACCTCATTGCCTGTCCAGAGAGAGGGGGGTAGAATAGGTCTTCAGCAACCCATGCTTGCCGTAAAAGGCGACTATGCTTGTCGTATGTGTGATATTTATAGTTCACTCAAACATACTGTTAAACAACTGTTGGTAATATTTGAAACATGTACCACATTTTCTTGCAAAAGTATTAGGTCATCAGATAACTATAATGTTATTCATGATATTTGTCAGTATTTACATAAAATTAATAAAAACAGAACTGCACTCTTAAAGGATGTGTGATATTTATAGTTCATTCAAACATACTATTTATGATGTTAAACAACTGTTGGCAATATTTGAAACATGTACCACATTTTCTTGCAAAAGTATTAGGTCATCAGATAACTATAATGTTATTCATGATATTTGTCAGTATTTACATAAAATTAACAAAAACAGAACTGCACTCTTAAAGGATGAGGGATATTTATAGTTCATTCAAACATACTATTTATAATGTTAAACAACTGTTGGCAATATTTGAAACATGTACCACATTTTCTTGCAAAAGTATTAGGTCATCAGATAATTATGTTATTCATGATACTTTTCAGTATTTACATAAAGTTTATAAACACGGAACTGCACTCTTAAATGATGAGTGATATTTATAGTTCAATGAAACATAATGTCTCAATGTTAAACAACTGTTGGCAACATTTGAAACATGTACCACACTTTCTTGCATATGATTGTACATCTGCCTTTATATTAGCGTAAGCGCAGTACATGTTAATAAAATCAAGCATGTATTATGGGGCTTTGGCCTGTATACTGTAATAAAGAATCTGAATCTGAATCTGAATCTTAAAGGCGACTAACGGGATCGGGTGGTCAGGCTCGCAGACCTGGTTGATGCGGGTCATCGATCCCAATTGCGTGGATCGATGCTCATGATATCAATCACTGGATTGTCTGGATTGACTCGATTATTTTACAGACAGCCGTCATATAGCTGGAATATTGCTGAGTGCGGCGTAAAACAACAAACACACAAACCAGAGAGAGGTGACAAAATTGGAAACCCGCTGGGATTCCGGGTTAGAATGGATCTCCAGCAGCCTAGTCTAGTCCTTAGAGGAGAGACCGCCTCCATGGTCTTGTGGTAGAGCGTCCGCCCGGAGAGCGGAAGGTCCAGGGTTCGATCCCGGGCCGCGTCATACAAAAAGACGTTAAAAGATTGTACTTGTTGTTACCCTGTCTGGCGCTCGGCATTAAGGGGCTAAAACAAGGACTGGTCGGCTCGGAGTCAGTATACTGTGTCTGAGTGGGGTATTCATGTTAAACTGCGGCATGGTATCTCAGTGAGCTAGCACTATAAATCGGCATCAGTCCGGACTAGTACAAGCAGCCACACACACATACACGTGCATGCACGTCGCTATATAAGTGCAATAATCTTGGACGCGACGTTAAACCCAATTTCACCTCACCTTAGAGGAGACTAAATAGATTGGGTGGCCAGGTTCAGTAATTTGGTTGAGGCATGCCATCGTCAGCCCAATTGCGTGTCAATCAATAAACGCATCTAAATGTACAAATGTTTTGTTTGTTGTTTAACTCTGCACTGAGCAATATTCCAGCTACGTGACAGCGATCTGATAATGGAAAGGCGGGTCTGCTGTACAACCTTTTCTCTCTGATATGGAATCCTAGAAGGGACATTGTCACCTTGTCGCATTGTCGCTCTGACAAAAGAAAAGCAAAAAGTGTCAAAGTTAACAAAATTGTGACAATTGGACCATTTGTCGCATTGTAATGTTGTCGCTTTGAAGATCTTCTTTATTTTTTCCAAAGGGCGAAAACGCGGGTTTAACTCACTGTCTCCGGATGCCTCTGTGTTAACCCTCTCTATTCGCCATTGTCTGGGGCTCCGTCACTCTCTTACTACGAGTACTAAGGGTGTGGTCTCTCGTTCACTACGTCATGGCTTTAAACAGTGTGTACCCGTGAACATTCCGGGGTAGAGTAGGTCTTCAGCAACCCATACTTGCCGTAAAAGGCGACTATGCTTGTCGTAAAAGGCGACTAACGGGATCGGGTGGTCAGGCTCGCTGACTTGGTTGATACATGTCATCGATCCCAATTGCGTGGATCGATGCTCATGATATTAATCACTGGATTGTCTGGTCAAGACTCGATTATTTACAGACCGCCGCCATATAGCTGGAATATTGCTGAGTGCGGCGTTAAACAACAAACAAACAAAAACAAACAAAATTAAACAGTGTGACAGTGAGCTGCCGTTGCGTGTCGGGGTAGGTCCGTTCGTCGGCGTCTCGATATAGTTAATGGTATACTAGCGGGTCCATCTATTGGTTGAATCAATCAGCGGTTAAGCGGCCATGTGGTATTTACTGAGAATACATTCGTACTGTTGTTTACTTTTGTTTACGGGGGCACGGGTGTCTCACTCGTCTAAGGCGCCGCGATTAGCTATAAACAGTTGCGTCTTTTGGGCACGCCAGAAACCTATGATTGTGGGTTCGAATCCCTGTTCGCCCCGATTATGTGTCTAGGTTTGTCAGCACCGAGCCTGTGCTCATGGGTTTCACCAAAGTGGTAAACGCCTGAGACCTGCATCACTTCGTGCTTTCCTCCCACATTTAGCTGACGCACCGCGATATAACTCGAATACTGTTAAAAGCGGCGTTAAACCCAACTCACTCACTCACTCACTCACACTCACTGACACATTATTCCTCATATGTATGACATGTACAACATTCACAACATCAGACCTAGGATTGATTTGAAACCCAGGATGGATTTAAAACCCATTATTACATCAGGTAATCACCCCCGCAAGAACAATGCCAAATTCGAACCATTGTTTGCATTTAATCCTAGACACCATCATCTGAATTCAAAAACATATCACAGGGTGTGTCCTTGTCGTGATTTTTTTTTTTCGAATTTGAATTTGAACGGTAGCGTTTGAGGGATGCTGCAAAGGTAAAACCTGCCACGCACAGGAATTGTCAAGGTTGTAAATAGACAGATGTACACAGGCAAGGCAAGGAGTGGCCTCAGGGTTCAACACGATTTACCAACGCAGTACACAGCGGTCACCCATGACTTCCTCAAACGTTGCCCGTAGGTATAAGACGAGTGAACGTCCAGCCTTTGCTATTGTGTACGTCATGACCATAAGCTTACACAGTACACAGCGGTCACCCATGACTTCCTCAAACGTTGCCCGTAGGTATAAGACGAGTGAACGTCCAGCCTTTGCTATTGTGTACGTCATGACCATAAGCTTACACAGTACACAGCGGTCACCCATGACTTCCTCAAACGTTGCCCGTAGGTATAAGACGAGTGAACGTCCAGCCTTTGCTATTGTGTACGTCATGACCATAAGCTTACACAGTACACAGCGGTCACCCATGACTTCCTCAAACGTTGCCCGTAGGTATAAGACGAGTGAACGTCCAGCCTTTGCTATTGTGTACGTCATGACCATAAGCTTACAAAGTACACAGCGGTCACCCATGACTTCCTCAAACGTTGCCCGTAGGTATAAGACGAGTGAACGTCCAGCCTTTGCTATTGTGTACGTCATGACCATAAGCTCAAACTCTAAACCCAAGTGTTCTACTTCTGAACACAACACATGGATGTAACACTTTAAGAACGCGTCCATGTGTTCTGAAAATATTATGAACGTTGATGTTCTCGACCCAGAACTGGAGTGTTCTACAAACATATTTAGAACGCTTCAACGTTTTCTGACGATGTAACACTTTTAGAACGTCTGAAAAGTGTTCTGGGTCGAGATTCAGAACACTACACATCCCCAGAAACGTACTTCCACAGTACAGAAATGACAACTCATCGTGTGTGTCGAATACAATTTACCTGATGGTTTTTTTCAAGGCGTAAGAATTTGAACCATACACCCATACATATTTTCTGGCATAAAATCATACGGACGAAATTCTGAACTGGAAGCATGAATTCTTTATATTTATTTGTCATGATCATGGATATTCAAGTCACTTAAATATGTGAGTCAGATAAAGTACAAACTGTCGTGTAGCAAATTGAAGCATACTTCCATACTTAAGATAGCTTAAGTTTATAGTCTTTCACGAAAAGCATGTACTTCGCAGGTGTTTCTTGTGGGTAAATATCCCCAAGGACGATGTTCGTAACAGCGACATGACCATCGCATGTTTCAGGAAACTTCATGTCAAATATGACTTCGCAACATCCTACAACACCAAACATTTATTTTGTCATAGTCATATATTTATCAAACTCGTACATATTACATAAGACATCATTCTAACAAATGTTCGTTAGTAAACGCAAAGATTACCGTGACATTTGTTTCATTATTTATAGGTTGCAAAATGTTTTGCCAAAGATGGCATTTGACTAACAAAGTTATCAATTACTTGGATAAAGACTAGAGCAGAATATACACAAGTACCTTCTTATTTGATCTGCAAAACCTTGTTTCTTTTCCTCCTTTGCGTAGACGTGTGCTGTGTGTAATAATTTCGGTGGATGGTACTGATTATCTGCAATGCACCCTGAAATTGAAACAAAAAGACTGTTTCTCTAAAACATTTCATACAAAAACTTGTCCTGTGAAGGTTTAGTTCTTTTTGTTCATTACATACTTACCCTCTTCTCTGCTGATTTCGATG